TGTAACAAGATGCTTATTAGGAATCAAACTGGTTTTCATGATAGACACATCATTACAGGAAGCATTAATTTTAACATTAATTTTAACTCCTGACACACCTTGCTGCCTTAACTATAAAATCACTGAATTACCTCTTACAGCATTTCATTCATACAACTTTTTTTAATTTTTCAGGAGTGTTTCTTCATGTTGTAGCAGACACKCTTGGCAGTGTTGGTGTAATTGTGTCTTCTGTTCTTATTGAGCAATTTGGACTCTTCATTGCTGATCCTGTCTGCTCACTGTTCATAGCTACAATGATATTTCTWAGTGTCATTCCTCTTCTCAAAGAATCATCATCTGTCTTGCTTCAAAAGACACCAATAGATATAGAAAAACCTTTAGGGCAAATTCTGAATAAGGTGAGTTTTCAGACTTCCTTATCTTTTCTTAATCAAATTTATACAGACAACTCTTGCCTTACGGACACCGGCACCATTACGGACACCTTCTGATATTAAGGGCAGGAAATACTGATCCCCAGTRAAAAAAAATACAAAGTAATGATTGAAGGTACATGTAATTCTCGTTATTTTAATAATAAAAAAACACTATTCTCACTACTGTGAAAAAAACACAMAAAAAAACACTATTCCCACTAGAGCGGATTTCGTATGAGTGGGACACCGTTACCTCGCGGTTACCTTCACAATTTTGGTGAACCAATGGGGCACTAGAATTTGGTTACAGTACGATTACGGTCACAGTACGGTACCGTCCGTTTCCCACTCATACGAAATCCGCTCTACTGCGGGCACTAAAACAGTCCTGATAAGGGTGACTCTGTAATAGCAAGAGTTGATTGTATTTCTCCAGCCCAGTACATTAATACTTAAAAACCTTCAGCTTTATCACCAACTAAAAACCATGGGCTGCAACTGCTATAACCAGTTGAAAAGAACCCTCACATCCAAAAATTAGACACCAATCACCATTGACAAATGGATTGTATTTTGCAGATATTATCTTTGGATGGTGTATTATCCTATAGAGACCATCATTTCTGGCAGCATTCCGAGAAAACTACAGTAGGGACATTACATGTACAAGTAGCCCCATCAGCTAGTGAACAGAAAATTATTCAACAGGTACTGTATGTTCTAGAATAAGGGCTGTAAACAAGGTCCATAATCTTGAGGGTTCTTAGATCATAGGGTTCGTTATTCACAAGGTGCATTATAATCCACCTTATCCCTAATAATGCCCTCTGTCCATAGTCCACAACGCCTTTAATCTAAAGAGTCCAGGAGATAACTGGATTCTAGAGTGCACGCCAAAAAAGCATGAAACAATTCTTAACTATCAACATCTAATAAGATTTAGTTATCAACTAACTAAGAATTCACTGGRGCATGAACACAATGCCAGAAAGGAAACTTGTCTTTGTTTATGCCTCACTAAATTCTTAGTTAGTTGATTTATAACTAAATCTTATTAGCCACTAATTACTTAAGAATTGTTTCATGCTTATGTGGCGTGCACTCTAGAATAAAGGTGTCATAATCGACAAGGTCCATATAATCTTGATAGTAATCCTAGATCATCTGGTCCATTATTCACAAGGTGCATATTTATAATCCACTATATCCCTAATAAGGCCCTTTGTTTATAGTCCACAAGGCCTTTAGTCTAAAGGGTCCTGGTGATACCTGACTGCCAACATGTCCAACTTAATTTACAGCAATATGCAGGAATTATGGGGAAAAATATAATTTCTGCAGATTGCTGTATATTTTTGAATTGATATTACTATTATAATTATAAGCTTTGTTTCTTTGAATCTTCCTCATGGATCAAGCCATGCACATCAGTGTATGCCTTGGACCTTGCAATTCAGATAGTAAAATCAACTATGATCAACTTTTCAACCACAGGTGAATTCTCTACTTAAAGAATACGGAGTAAATGACCTTTCTGTCCAAGTTGAGAAAGAAGCATTCTTTCATCATATGTCAGCCCTATCAGCAGGCTACARGTCTGTGTTAGCTTTAAGACAAGGTGCTGAGATTGGACAACCACCAAGTGAAACAGATATAGGTTTTATTAAATCCATTTGAATCATACAAGCATTATATAACAAATCAAGTAGTTTTATTAATACTTTTCATTGGAAAGCACTCTATTTTGCCTGCAAGGAAGATCATATTGGTAGGATTAGACCATGTTGTAAGCTTCTTCTTTCATGCAAGATCTGCTTATGACCAGAAATAATATTGAATTTAAAAAATGATTTATTTAACTGTTCAACACAAGCTCAGCCCACTTGAAATCATTAAAATCATCTCCCTGTAAATATAGCCTTTATTATAATAAAGTATATTTGTACATAATATTATAGTAAGTTATAATTTTAAGCCAAGTTAATAATGTAATAATACTTCCACTTTAAAAAACAACAACTCTAGCTTCAACATTAAAGCCTGGTTTTCACTAAGTTGTAAGCAAGGTGTTATAAGGTGTTAAAAACAATAGCTTTTGGGATTAGAAGGGAAAGTGTTTTTGGTATGTTTGTTCTGTTTTCTTTAATATTAGTCCAAGCCTGAAGCTTAGAGTACAAGCACTAAAACTGTGCAACATAAATACCACTAAATACTGCTAAATTATGCTAATTCTATTGTTTTCTATTGTTTAATTAACACTATTTTGTTCTAAATAGTGGAAAGTGTTGCACACATTTAATGTTTGTACTCTACTGCTTTGCTTATATCTACAGTATGTCTGTCACACGCTTGACTTTATCCTTTATTTTTTCTTTTCTCGGCTTATGCCTATGCTTATGTCCTAGTGAAAACCAGGCTTAAATATTATAACGTTGTAAACATGATAATAACAAGTTCTTTGAGATGTATGTATACTATATTGATGTTATTATTATTATTATTATCTCAATAGTATTGTTGAAAATATTGTGAATAAAATCTTTAGATTAATTTAGAGGCAGGTGAAAAATGATTCTTCATGACTACAACTTCTTAAGACAGCAACAGCATTGTTGATATGGTAGATTTATGCCAAGTTTTTATTAGAATTATGTCTGCTTTCCAAAGGACTGTGAGGCTCCGATATAGAAGTGCATCATCATGTTTCAAATTGTGAGAGACTACATGGTTGTATAATCAGATAAGACTTTCACCATGTTGCTAATTAAGGCCAATAATTAAGCCACTCTAATGGATATAGGAAAGAAGT